AGCCTGGGCGACAGAGTGAGACTCTGCCTCAAATAAAAAAAAAAAAAGAAAGAAGTTATGCTGGAATAAAGTGCTGTATTCCGATTGTTAATAACGTAATCAATTTCCATTATCCATGAGTCAAAACTACGGTGTGTTCTATCATTCTCTTAAATTCCCAAAGTCACTTGCTGTGGCATGCTGCAGAACACAAACCTTCACACTCCTGCACTTACCACGTCATCTCCTCCAATCCTATTTTGACTCCTAGGCAATGTCGGGCAGAGGTGAATAGAACACCGCAGACAATCTGCAAAGCCAGCAGATTCACGTGCAGATATTCGAGAATGTATGTGGCGATAGCATCTGAAGACTTGAAGGCAACATCAGCTTATTTCTGGGCACCCTTTGGCCTAAAGATTTCATTTCACGGAATCCATCCTAACAAAACATTACTGCATGTGCGCAAGAATGTAGGTTGCAAAAAATGTTCATAAAGTCACTTTAATGGCAAAGAATTGGAAACTAAAAATCCATTTTATAGGAACGAGACTGCATAAATTACGGCACATCTACATAATAGGATCCTATGAAGCTGATAAAAAATGAGAGAGTCCTATCTGTCTATGCTCCTCACAGAGATCTCTAAAACAACATTAAAAGAGAAAAGCATGATGGGTTGTGCAGAGTGATGATGTGTCACAATGCAGGTTCCTCAGCTGTGACAGAGGCAGGGAACGTCGGTGCTGGGAGAGGCTGTGAGTGGGGGCGGGGTGGATGGGAAATCTCCGTACCTTCCGCTGGATTTTGCTGAGAACCTAAATCTGCTATAATAAATGGTCTGTTTGCAAAAGAAAAAGGAAAAACCACATTACAGAGCATTACATACACTGCAATCCTATTTAGGTAAAATATGAAGCAAAAGTAGAGATGCATGTATTTGTTTACCTGCAGATGCAAAGAAGGGACTGAAATGCTAAAAGAATACACACCCAATAATTCGGTTTTACCTTTGGGAAACAGGACAGGGACAGGGAAGAAGACGTGAAAAGAAGACTTTCACATTTTAGTTTACACACGTCTACAACCGCTGAATGTTACACAGAGTAAGTGCAGTCCTGTATTCCTTATGTTGGGGAAGAAAACACCACAGTAAAGATAAAAAACAAGACAAACAAGATAGGATCAAGCTGAGCGCAGTGGCTCATGCCTCTAGCACTGTGGGAGGCCAAGGCAGGAGGATCGCTCAAGGTCAGGAGTTCGAAACCAGCTCTGAGCAAGGGAGAGACCCCGTCTCTACTATAAATAGAAAGAAATTAATTGGATGACTAAAATATGTATATATAAAAAATTGGCTGGGCGAGGTGGCTCACGCCTGTAATCCTAGCACTCTGGGAGGCCGAGGCGGGAGGATCGCTCGGAGGTCAGGGTTCGAAAACCAGCACTGAAGCAAGAGCAAGACCCTGTTACTAATAAATAGAAAGATTTAAATGGCTAACTAATATATATAGAAAAAATGAGCCGGGAATGTTGGTCTGCCTGTATCCCAGCTACTCGGGAGGCTGAGGCAGGAGGATTGCTTGAGCCCAGGGTTGACGGTTGCTTGAGCTGGCTGACGCCATGGCACTCACTGCTAGCCTGGAGCAACAAAGCCGAGACTCTGTCTCAAAAAATAAATAAATATAAAAAATATTAGCCGGGCCATTCGGTGGCTCATGCCTGTAGTCCCAGCACTTGGGAGGCTGAGGCAGAGATCCGTTGAGCCCAGGAGTTTTGAGGTTGCTGTACGAAGGCTTGACGCCACGGTGCCACTCACTCCAGCCTGGGCAACAAAGTGAGATTTTTGTCTCAAAGGAAAAAAAAAAAAAATGGTAAGATCAAAGATAAGCCAACGTGGGCCATCTTTAAGCCAAATGCTGTGTCTGAGAACTCAACTAATGTTTTGCATTGTCTACTAGTTCACCAAAGGCCTAACATAAAGGCCTACTAGAATGTCGCTAAGAAAGCATGCTGAACAGGAGGATCGCTTTCATTTTGTGTTAATCTAAAACTACAAAGACACAAATGCCTGGGACCTTAGCTCATAACTTAAAATGTATTATATCATTGTTATTGAGGGGATATAATATAAAGATCTTCATTGCGGGCACGTTGCAGGAGACAGAAACACGAACAGGGGCACTTGTAATATACATCTTGGATCTGCAGACTGTCCCTATTGAATTATTTCCTCTCTCACAGTCACCACGACATTGTTTTGGGAACATGTTAAGTATTTTTCTCTTTATTATTTCTAAAATATAAATTTTGGACATTCAAAAGTGCAACAGTTAATGTGCCAGTGGGGGGGCGGGGGAATATCACAGTTAAAAAAATATAAACAAAGGCAGTGATACAGCTTGTCTTAAATGTTTTGGCAGTATTCTCCAAGTCTATATAGAAATACATATATACACATCGATGTATAACATCATTTAATCTTATGTCCCTCTTCGCAAAAATAGGACCATTTTGTACAGATTGGCAGACCACATTTTAAGGGCATCATTGATCGTTTAAAAAGTCACACGTTGTGTTTCTCAGGCCGGGTTTGATTGTCGTCATAAAAAAATGGAAAGCAAGGAAGGATTGGCAAATTTTGTTCTGGGGATTTTGCAGAAGGCCAAAAAAAAAAACAAATCTGGGATAGGCTGAAAACACTTTTTTAAAATGCACTCGTGTTCAAATTCAGGTGGGAGCACTTGTTGGGACTGGAAACTGGTGGTCTGAGAAGTTCCCTCCAGCCCCGTGATGTCATTAAAGGCTCGAAGTGACATCAAAACGCAAAGCACCAACACGATAAGGCTGTACAAAGGGACGGTGAGTGACAGACAGCATGCTTCCGCTGTGATTCGAGAAATACAGATGTATTTCAAGTCTAAACTGGCTCTACAAAACCTGGTTAGGTTTTCGTTCTTAATTGGCCGATCTGGCTCAGTCTCTGCGCTTACTATGAAAAAAGGTGAATTAAGAAAGCTGGGGCTGGCATCTGCAGTGACACCAGCAGGTAGTCAAGTATTTTGTTATTGCTTCTACCTCTTCCAAAGCCTCACCTGCTGTTAGCACCGTAAAAGCGGGTGCAGTCATCACAGCCCAGGTTTCTTTCATATGGTGTCAGCGATTAAGCAGTATCGCAAAGAATGCCAGCAAACCCATGCCAACCAGCTTGACAGTCTGGATGGAGGTGACAATTCATCCTCCCATGAGATCCCACAGTATCAGTACAACTTTTTAATTTTTTTTTTTCCACCAAAATATTGACCTGGCTATACAGAGCCTTGGCACACTGAATTGCATCATTTTTGTAGATCCCTCTCCCCAGGAAGCAGTGCCTTTACATCTGGAAGACCTGCCAAAACCAAACTTGAGCTTTCTCAGCCTCAGCTAAGACTGGAAAGTTAAATTAATGGGTGGCGATCGCCAGCTCTGTGGCATTAAATGTCACTGACCCGAAGCCAAGGATTTAAATAGCAGGCTTCCTACGTGGTTGACTTGTAGCCCAATTCCAAATTCCAAACCGTTTGTTTCCCATGGCAACTTCCTGTAACCTGAGACGGTGTTTCTGAAAACTGGCTGATGCGAACAGCCGAGGAGTTTATAAAAAATACAGGTTCCTGCTTCCCCCAAGACTTAATAATTCAGAATCTCAGAATCTGATGCCAATTACATTTGAGAATGAAGGGTGCAAGCTAAGGATGTTTACGGCCTCTGCTAAACAATGCCTTCATGCCTCAGAGTTTCAAACTTGTGCTTTTAGGGGTAAGAGATAAAAGAAGGGGGTTCATGTCCAGGCATCGTTATAACCCTTTTAAGGTTCACAGATTTAAAATATACATACATAGTTGTATATGTTGGCAGCCACCAAAATTACCAGCAGGCATGCAACAAACCTCTGCAAATCCAGTCTCTCTGCTGACAATTATATTTTCCACTGGGTAAGAACAGAAATCATGTTCAGCATGGGTTTGTGTATTTATACTGAGAACATTTAGGACTTAGGGGTTTTGTTTGTTGTTTCTAATCACCTTATTTCAGAGGGCAGTTAATTGTTTTTAACACAATCAGTTGGGGAACCTATTTAGTACACGATGAAAAATTCTGACTTTCTGGACGACACTACTTTTACTTCGTTCTCTATGTCCAACTAAATTAAATCCACTAAAGCTACTACCATATTTTATAGAGAAACGTGTTATTTCATATAAATGTCAAACTTGTCACCTACTTAGTAAGGGTTGTTTTTTTCTTTTTTTTTAATTGTGCTTTCTCTGTAGGGTAATCATGTTACATATTATACGTTTAGCGTAACTGATAACAGTAGTAGTAGTAGTATAAACGTAGATTACAATATGAAAATGAGTTCTTGGGCTTCTAAATGACCCCAATCTATTAAACAGGTTGGTTAATAATTAGCCTTTATCTCTTTAACACTACAAAAAAAAAAAAAAAAGTGAAATGCTATATAGTACCAGTACCTTTTAAGGTTCAAAAGTGGTTTCTCATGCACTTCGTAAGACAGTCCAACAGCAGCTAATACCAGGGTTCAGGAGGGAAGGAGTGGTCTCTTTAGGAGTCCAGAGAAAATACGAATCTGAGCACATCCTGGGTTAGAGTTATTTACATAATTACAATGCTGGGGTTTGGCTGCAGCACAAACGGTGCACATCGGGATGTCCCCAATGCCCTTGAAAGACACAGTCCGTCTCCCGTGGCCTATCATTCCCTCTCCCATCGACCTCCGAGCCTCGCACACCGCTGAGGGGCTGCAGAAGCCATGCAGGAAGCAACGCTGAGAAAGTTCATCTTAAAAAAAAAAATAAATGGCCCATCCGTTCCCACGAGGGAGGCTCCCTGGGGCCCCCCCCCCGCTGGGATCTTCTCTTCACGCATCACCCAGGGTCCTCCGCTCAACCTCTGCATTGCAATAAAGTGGTTTTCCGAAATGCATCCAGGGGCGCGGAAGGCACCCCGAACCCCCAGGGTCACAGGAAGCTGTCCTCTACCAGGTCCGAGGAGTCATGCGTGTGATCCTTTTTCGATGGTCCTCGAATGGTGTCTCGTTCCCTCTTGATGAAGGTGGAGCTGCTGGAGCCCGTCTCGATGGCACTCTCCTCGGAGGTCTGGGAGCTGGAGAGGGGGCGGAGAAAGTCGGGCCGGCACGCAGAGCGGCGAGGCCGGCCGCGTTTTGGGGGCGCCCTGCCACCCCCAAGGCAAAGGGGCTCTCCCTGCAACGAGCCTTCTGCCTCCAAACTCGCGCTGCCCGGGGTGGCGAGATCCTGCCACCCTGCCCGACACACCGTGCTGGGGAAACCCAGGTCCCCGGTCATGTCCACACTGCAGATCTCCTCCTTTTCTGCCAGGCTTTTTTTTTTTTTTTTTTTCATCAAAGTTGCACACAAACAATTTCTACTTTCCCCACTAGACCCTAGTGCAAGAGAAAAGAGGCAATGCCTGGCCCGGGCGCGGGGGCTCACGCCTGTCATCCCAGCACTCTGGGAGGCCGAGGCAGGCGGATCGCTCGAGGTCAGGAGTTCGAAACCAGCCTGAGCAAGAGCGAGACCCCCCTGTCTCTACTAGAAATAGAAAGAAAATTAATTGGCCAACTAAAATACATAGAAAAAATGAGCCAGGCATGGTGGCGCATGCCTGTTGTCCCAGCTACTCGGAGGGCTGAGGCAGGAGGATTGCTTGAGCCTGGGAGTTTGAGGTTGCTGTGAGCGAGGCTGACGCCTCGGCACTCTAGCCCGGGCAACAAAGCAAGATTCTGTCTCAAAAAAAAAAGAAAGCCTTAGGTCTGGAGTGGCCCCAGCACATGGCAACAGCTGTCCAGCCACCTAACCGCTCTCGTTATAGTGACAATGGCTGGATCCTTTCTGGGCCACCCTCCAGCTAGCCGTGTGGCTTCAGAGTAAGTCACTTCACCCCCTGAACTTGAAATTGTTTCCTTGCCTATATAATGGTGCGACAATAATGCCTAATGAGAAACCCGTTAGGGAGATCAGATAAAGTAATAACCATAAAGCACTGAGCACACTGCCAATTATTGGTAGCTACTCTTCCTCCCCAGTAAATGCTAGCTGTCATTGTCATGCAAACTCTTACTCAAATTTGCATAGAGCCTGAATATTAGACGATACCAGGGAATAGCTGTTCATTTTCTTACATGTGGTTGTCATATTAAGGTTATGTAGGAAGAGTATTCTTACTCTTAGGAAACGTGTGCTAGAGCATTGGGAATGAAGCATCTTGGTGTTTCCTACTTAGCTTCAAACAACTGAGCAAAAATAAATAAACACATAAATATGTAATCCCAGCACTCTGGGAGGCCGAGGCGGGAGGATCGCTCGAGGTCGGGAGTTCGAAACCAGCCTGAGCAAGAGCAAGATCCCGTCTCTACTAAAAAAATAGAAAGAAATTGATTGGCCAGCTAAAAATATATATATAGAAAAAATTAGCCGGGCATGGTGGCCCTTGCCTGTAGTCCCAGCTACTCGGGAGGCTGAGGCAGGAGGATGGCTTGAGCCCAGGAGTTTGAGGTTGCTGTGAGCTAGGCTGGCGCCATATAGCACTCTAGCCCGGGCAACAGAGTGAGACTGTCTCAAAATAAATAAATAGATAAATAAACTGGTTAAGAGAGACCACGGTCATCAGCCTCCAAGATAATGCTGTGTGCTTCTGCCTAAATAATTGTAGTAGTTAACTGGTGACGGGTAAGAAGGGAAAACCATGCCCTGAACACAGAGGAAGAAAAGGAGACTCATAAGCAACTTCGACCTTGAACCCAGGGGCCACTGCCAACACCTTCCCCCGCCTCTGCCCAAGGGCCATGCAAGGAGTAAGGGGGCCACGTGAAGCCCTGGTGCTCAGTCCTGCCTGCCATCAGTACCACCTTGGCACTAAGAGCAGCGTTCTGGATAGTGACCACTAGCAGCCACTACTGTCCCAGGAGACAGGACAACGGGAGGGTACGCACCTCCCAAGGGAAGCAAATAGTGCCACCTCTGCCACACGCCTGCCAAAGATCTCACCTGAGTCACACCCAGCCTCTAGGCCAGGGATCCTCAAAGTAAGGCCTGTGGGCCACATGCGGCCTAAATGTAGCACATTTATCCGACCCGCAGGGTGTCTTTGCAGCCGCTGCCTGTCCTGCTTAGCAGCCGCTGCCTGTCCTGCTTAGCGGCCGCTGCCTGTCCTGCTTAGCAGCCGACTTGTCCCGGGCCCACAGTGCGCATGTGTGGAATGTGCACCCCACTCTCCAACGGTCTGAGGGACAGTGACCTGGCCCCCTGTTTAAAAAGTTTGAGGACCCCTGCTCTAGGCCAACTACCAGTTTGCAGCAAACGTAGGAGAAAGAAGCGCAAGATCAGGACACTCCGGGGATGTAACCAGCAAAATTCCGACGGTGGGAACTCTACGGGCAAACACTCTCATTTCCTCACAAATAAAACGCAAGGGGCGAAAAAGAGGCAGGGTGAACTCTCGAACCCACAGCAACCAAATGCAACGTGTGACTCTTATCTGCATCTCGAACAGAACAAACCCAACGTGCAATAATATTTGTGAGACGATCTGAACTCTGCATATCTATCTGATGCACTTAATTGACTGTCCCTTTTTTGGACGGAATAATGGCATGGCAGCTATTTTTAATAACTTTTGTAGTCACTGTTGTTATTCTTTAAAAGAGAGCCCTTATCTCTTAGAGATGCATTCTGTAATATTATTATTTATAGATGAAATGATAGGATGTCTAATATTTGCTTCAAAATGATCCAGAGGCGGCTGAGGAGGAGATCTGGGTACACATGCAACCAGACCGGCCAAGTTCACAAACACTGAAGCAGGGTGATGAACACTTGACAGCTCACTCTACTATGTGAATACAAAATTTATAAGAGAGAAAGAGGCCGGGCACGGTGGCTCACGCCTGTAATCCTAGCACTCTGGGAGGCCGAGGCAGGAGGATCGTTTGAGCTCAGGAGTTCGAGACCAGCCTGAGCAAGAGCAAGACCCCGTCTCTACTATAAATAGCAGGAAATTAATTGGACAACTAAAGACAACTATAGAAACTATAGAAACTATAGTTTGACAACTATAGAAAAAATTAGCCGGGCATGGTGGCGCATGCCTGTAGTCCCAGCTACTCGGGAGGCTGAGGCAGGAGGATCGCTTGAGCCCAGGAGGTGGAGGTTGCTATGGGCTGGGCTGACGCCACGGCTCTCTAGCCTGGGCCACAGAGGGAGACTCTGTCTCAAAATAAATAAAGAAAAGAAAAAAAGAAATCAGCCAGCGAGCACATGGCCGCCACCCTCAGAAAGTCTAACGTGTTTTTTAAGGGTGAGGCTTGTAAATCAGTAGTTTTAAAATCTCCCCAGCTGAGTTAAGAACCACTGACGCAGGATCCAATAACCCAGTTACTGGACCCAGTTATTGGACCCAATGAACCCGGGGCCCCCAAGACAATGTCGGGAGAGGCTTGTATCATCTCAGTAACCACAGCGGCCGTGCGGGTTTGGTCAAGTTACCCAAGGACTTAGGTCAAAGATCCTCCGCCAGGGAAGTGTGTCCCCCTGCCCCACCACACACACACCCCTCCTCCCCCAGCCCAAGGGGTGGACACACATTAGAATCATCTGGAAAGCCGTTTCAAAACCACATCAACCCCCCCCTGGGCCAAGGTGCCTGGGGAGGCCGAGGCGGGAGGATCGCTCAAGCCCAGGCGGGCGAGGCTGCAGTGAGCTATGACTGTTTCATTGCACTGCAGCCTGGGCAGCACAGCAAGACCCTATGTCAAAAAATATATTTTAATGTTTGCAAGCCCTACATAGACCCCGGGCCTGGGGCTTCTGCAACTCGCTCCCCCAGTGGAGTCGAGTCTCCACCAGAGAGCCTCATCAGCAATGGCAGGGCCCCCCCCCCAGCCAGGTGTGCAGGGGGCGGGGCGCCGGGGCTGCCACGCCCGCTACCTGTGTCTGTTCCTCTTGCCCAGGTCCTCCTCCTCCTCCGCCGCGGGGTCGATGTCGGGCAGCGGGATGATGTAGCCGCTGTCGGCGCTCAGCCTCTGCTCGTCCAGGCCGCCCTCCCAGCCCTTCAGCTTGTCCTCCTCGTTCTTGTAGGCGACGCCCACGTAGGCGCCGTCCGGGTCCGCGCGCATGCGCGCCACGGCCGGGTGTCGCTCTTGAGGAAGTCCAGGTGGATCTTCTCGTAGCTCTGTGAACGCGCATCGGGACGTGTGTAGTCGGGGGCCACCCGCCGGCCGGGAAAAGGAATGGAGGCCGGGCGCGGAGGCTCACGCCTGTCCTCCCGGCACTCCGGGAGGCCGAGGCGGGAGGATCGCTCGAGGTCAGGAGTTCGAGACCAGCCTGAGCAAGAGCGAGACCCCCGTCTCTACTTAAAAAATAGAAAGAAATCAATTGGCCACCTAACATATATATAGAAAAATGAGCCGGGCATGGTGGTGCATGCCTGTAGTCCAGCTACTCGGGAGGTTGAGCAGGAGGATCGCTTGAGCCCAGGAGATTGAGGTTGCTGGAGCGAGGCTGACGCCATGGCACTCACTCTAGCCTGGGCAACAGAGTGAGACTCTGTCTCGAAAAATGAATGGAGACACTCAGGACTTACTATCACTTAACTGCACATGTTGCCAAACTACTTCTTAGATATAGGGTTTAGCCATCGGAAAGACAGTCACATATCACCACGCCCAGAGATGTGGGACATGAAGAAAGGACCCTCCGTGGCAGAGAGTTCTGCTGGTAGGTCTTAAGGTACCAGCCAGGTGAGGTGGCTCATGCTGTAATCCTAGCACTCTGGGAGCTGAGGCGGGAGGATCGCTCAAGGTCAGGAGTTGAGACCAGCCTGGCAAGAGTGAGACCCCGTCTCTACTTAAAAAATGAAAGAACTTAATTGGACATAAAATATATAAAAATCAGTAGGCATGGTGGCACATGCCTGTAGTCCAGCTACTCGGGAGGCTGAGGCAGAAGGATGCTTGAGCCCAGGAGTTGGAGGTTGCTGTGAGCGAGGCTGACGCCATGGCACTCACTCTAGCCTGGGCAACAGCGTGAGAATCTGTCTCAAAAAAAAAAAAAGGTACCAAGAGCCCCTTCTCCAAGTCAGTGGCTAAGACGGCATCCCTGCCCTTCCCCACCCAGGACACGCGTGAACCCTTCCGGCCCCATCACACCCTCTCTCGTCACTTCTGCAGGGTTTGGATGGGTCCCCAGAGGAGGTGGGGACGTCCACTGGGGGCATGATAGCCAAAGCCGTCATGACCCCTAAGCACTGGGGAAGCCTAACCTTTGATAGGAAAAAACTTTCTTTTTTTTTTTTTTTTTTAACAGAAACAGGGTCTCACTCTGTTGCCCAGGCTAGGGTACAATGGTGTCACCACAGCTCACTGCAGCCTCGAACTCCTGGGCTCAAGCGATCCTCTTGCCTCAGCCTCCCCTAGTGGCTGGGACTAACAGGTGCATGCCACCATGCCCGGCTAATTATTCTTATCATTTTGTAGAGATGGGGATCTCGCTATATTGCCCAGGCTGATCTCGAACTCCTGGCCTCAAGGAATACCGCCCCCAAAGTGCTGGGATTACAGCCGAGAGCCTGGTCTGAAAAGACTCTATTTTCAAGAGCAGTTTTACCCTTCCACCAGCCACTCTCCGCCAATCAGGGCCTCCCTGACCAACCCGAGGTTGATTTCTCTCTGCCTCCTCGCTCACTGCAGGCAGTTGTAAAGGGCAGCGAGGTAACACGCAAAAGTACTTAGCTTCCCGTTCCGCAGCACCGTCTCCTGATGCCACTCCTCTCTGAGAAGCAAAAGCATGGAAAGTCTACACAATGACTCATCTGAATCCAAGCAACTGAGCGGATGGACGTGTGGGTTTCCTTTCAGGCTTCGGCAGAAAGCTGTTTCATGCATTTACAGATCCTGCCTGGTTCCATGAAATTGCATTTGTTCCTTTGAACAATGCCTCCCATGCCACAAAAAACCCAGCTGGAGCCACCCAGAGCAGCTGAGGTTGCTCCTTCCAATCAGCTGCAGAAAAGCCAACTGCGCATGGAGCTAAGTGCATTCAAATGAGCGATTTAATGGCCAGGGCCGCCCTGAGACTTCTGACTGGGCACGGGCTTCAGACAGGCCAGCATCTGCGGGATAAAGTGCTCACAGGTGTGGCCCGGAGGCAGGGGAGGGTCCCATTCATCAGTGCCACCGGGGCCCGTGGGGCACGCCATGGAGCGCCCACCCCCTGGATCACACGATCCTTTTCCTCCTTTGAAAACGTTCCTTTAGAACAGTGTGGAACGGCCGGGCGCGGTGGCTCACGCCTGTAATCCTAGCACTCTGGGAGGCCGAGGCGGGTGGATTGCTCAAGGTCAGGAGTTCGAAACCAGCCTAAGCAAGACCCCCCCCCCCCACCCCGTCTCTACTAAAAATAGAAAGAAATTAATTGGCCAACTAATTATTATAGAAAAATTAGCCGGACATGGTGGCGCAGGCCTGTAGTCCCAGCTATTTGGGAGGCTGAGGCAGGAGGATTGCTTGAGCCCAGAAGTTTGAGGTTGCTGTGATCGAGGCTGATGCGAGCGCACTCACTCTAGCCTGGGTAACAAAGCGAGACTATGTCTCAAAAAAAAAAAAAAAAAAATAGAACAGTGTCATACGGCCGGGCTTGGTAGCTCACGCCTATAATCCTAGCACTCTGGGAGGCCGAGGCGGGAGGATCGCTTAAGGTCAGGAGTTCGAGACCAGCCTGAGCGAGATCGAGACCCTGTCTCTACTAAAAAATATAGACAGAAATTAATTGGCCATTAGCTGGGCATGGTGGCGCATGCCTGTAGTCCCAGCTACTCGGGAGGGAGGCTGAGGCAGGAGGATTGCTTGAGCCCAGGAGTTGGAGGTTGCTGTGAGCTAGGCTGATGCCACGGCACTCTAGCCTGGGCAACAGAGCGAGACTATCTCAAACAAAAACCAAAACAAAAAAAGAACAGTGTCAAACAGCACTGCTCTCTGGCATGGCTTCTGGTCCTTCTCTTCTCCTTGTGCCCAGGCCCTTTCCCCTCCCCCTTACTCAGCCCACGCACCTTTTTATACTGTCCAGGAAGCAGATTCTCCACAATCTCACTCAGGTGGTAAAAGGAGGGTCTCTTCTCCGGCTCACTGTTCCAGCACTTCACCATGATCTCGTAGCTGCGGGCAAGAGAACCCAGAGTGGGCATGGGGTTGGGGGGCTTTTCAAGGCACCCCCCCACCTCCCAGATTTTCTGGGCACGAACTCGGGCCCCTGGGTTGGGGAAGGAGCTCACACTTCGCTGGTGGCGTGGTCCGGCTTGGCCATCCGGTACCCGCTCTTGATCTTGTTGTAGAAAGTAGAATCCACCATCATGCCGGGGTAGGGCGTGCCACCTAGAAGCCAAAGAAAACACCAGGACTGACACACGCACAGGACATTGCTGGAACATTCTGCACGACAGAACACCGCCAGGAAATTAAGTGTCATCTCCTTGACTTCAGGCACCTGCTCCAATCTTAAATTTAATGAGGACTCTAGGCTGGTCCGGTCCAAGCACCTTAGGGCAAAAATCCTACGTCTTTAGAAAAGACCCTAAAGTGTTTTTTTTCAATGCACTGACGACTAGAGCCGATATACAAAGTGAACTAGAAGGGCAAAGAGAAATTCCGAATCACTGAGGCCAAGAGAGTCGTTTCTACCAGAAATGTTCAAACAATTAAAGCAAAAGTCAAATTTGGGGCCGGGCAAGGTGGCTCATGCCTGTAATCCCAGCACTCTGGGAGGCCGAGGCAAGTGGATTGCTCAAGGTCAGGAGTTCGAAACCAGCCTGAGCAAGATCGAGACCCCCGTCTCTACTAGAAATAGAAAGAAATTAATTGGCCAACTAATATATATAGAAAAAATTAGCCAGGCATGGTGGCACATGCCTGTAGTCCCAGCTACTCGGGAGGCTGAGGCAGCAGGATTGCTCGAGCCCAGGAGTTGGAGGTTGCTGTGAGCGAGGCTGACGCCATGGCACTCACTCTAGCCTGGGCAACAAAGTGAGACTCGGTCTCGGAAAAAAAAAAAAAAAAAAGTCAAATTTGGGGCCTGAAACGTCTGGATGAATCTCTGCTTTTAAAGGAGTGCGAGATTCCTCCAGGCCACACACTGGGATGGCCCACGGTGGCCAGCCATGGAGAAAGGACTAAGATAAAAAATGAGGCGGGGGGTGGGGGTGGGGGGAGACCCCGTTTCCAGCCATGTCAGGATAACAGATACATTCATGCGACATCTCACACGCCTTCATAGCCAAGGCCAGGCCAAGTTCGGTTCCTTCTCGAAAGCCTATTCCAGGAGGCCTTTTTCCTTTTGAAATCAGAACCACACAGCTGGCCACTAAGTGTGTGCGTGTCATCTGCCCAGAAGAAGTGTCAGAGGTCATGGGTGTGACGCATCCTTCTCTCCGGCCCTCACCTGGCAGCTGATTGGCCGGGGGCCTGGGGAGGGGGTTTCTCTCCTGCAGGGTGATTGGCCAGGAGGGGCCACGCCCCTTCCCCTGGCCACCCTGCCTTGCACCTGCGCATCAATCACCAGAGGTGAGGCAGGGCCAGTCTCCCCTGGTGAACCCAGCGAACCCAAAGTCCAAAAGGAAAACGCAGCCAGGGAGTGGATCACGTGCAGCGGGGAGGAAGTCACCCTGGCGTGGCCCCCAGGAGAGGAGGGGCAGAGGCTGGGGGGACGGTGCAGCCCCCCCCCCCCAGCATACTGAGACCCAGCTGCACCTGCAGGGGTCCAATGCCTGGTGTCAAGTGGCTTGACTCCCACCAGGCATCTTAACCGTGTCTACGTGCCGGGGCTTGGAAGACCCCGCTTCCCTTCCGGGGCTGTCCCGGAACAGCGCGACACAAGCAGCGACCTCAGGCCCATACCGAGGGAGAAGATCTCCCAGAGCAGGATGCCGTAGGACCAGACGTCGCTCAGCGTGGTGTAGAGGTTGTCGAAGATGCTCTCGGGCGCCATCCACTTGACCGGCAGGAAGGTCTGCAGGGAAGGAAGGAGGAAATCAGCTCACGTCTGTCTACGCCCCGACGATCGCAGCTGCAGACACGCAAGGACTGTCCCTGGGCTCTCGGCAACTTGCTCTGAGTCCTGCCCCAGGTGAGTGTCACCCGTGTGCTGAGTTTACCGCGTGCTCGGCGCCAGCAAACATCTGATGAACAGTCAGTGGTTAATGTTGCCTCTTGCGCCCTCCAAAGGAGTAACACCCCAAAACGCTGAATCCTGAATTTTTAACTCAAAAAGCGTGTCCCCTTGCTCAAGGCAAGACAAGTCTAAAAAATAAAATAAAAAAAAAAAAAAAAGCGTGTCCCCTATTTTTAGACATTCCCTGGGAACGAAATGAAGAACAGAGCCAGTCATGTGCGAGCAGACTGCAGCTTTTGCACTCCAAGAAACAGTCACTTCTTACAGGCGGTGGCTCACGCCTGTAATCCTAGCACTCTGGGAGGCCGCAGCGGGAGGATTGCTCGAGGTCAGGAGTTCGAGACCAGCCTGAGCAAGAGTGAGACCCCGTCTCTACTACAAATAGAAAGAAATTAATTGGCCAACTAATATATATATATAGAAAAAATTAGCCGGGCGTGGTGGCGCATGCCTGTAGTCCCAGCTACTCGGGAGGCTGAGGCAGGAGGATTGCTTGAGCCCAGGAGTTTGAGGTTGCTGTGAGCGAGGCTGACGCCACGGCACTCACTCTAGCCTGGGCAAAAAAACGAGTCTCAAAAGAAAGAAAAAAAGAAATAGTCATTTCCAACCCACCACTGTAAAGAGCTGGACGTTAAGGAATGATGAATTTTTCGGCCTCTTTTGTGACGTTGGCCCCGCCTTTGGGGGAAATGCCAAACCGAGGCAGATGCATAAATTAGCCACGTGGCATCCCTCAACCCTCTGAGACTGCCAGGGAGACCAGGGACACATAACCCTATGCGGACAGGTGAGAACTTGCCTCCCCCAAAGTCCAGTGATGCTAATTTTAGTCCGAGATGCCTAAAGTTGAGCAGGAAGAGCCTCCGGCTACAGGTCACGGCCACACGAGTGCAAGAACCACACGGAGCAAGGACACGAGCCAGTGTCTCTCTCCGGGTGGGGTGGCAGCCCCTGTGAGCTGTCTCAC